GGGCCTTTGTGCGCAGGGCTTTGCCGGGGGAGGGGCCTGGTCGTGGAGGGCGGGGCCTTTCCGGGGGCGGGGCGTTCGGCGCGGGAGGGCGTAACACTCACAGTACAGCGCGGGCAGAGCCATTCACCGTTTGGGATCTCGGGCAGCGGCGGGTTGAGGCAGTGCAGGTGATAGGAGGAGGGGCAGGCGTCGCAGCAGAGCAGCTCGCCGCCGTCCTTGCACACGCGGCAGAACTCCATGTGGTCGTCCTCCTCCTCCTCGCAGCCGCCCTCCTCCTCGTCGTCGTCGTCGTCCTTCGGCTCCCACTGGATCCCCTCCTTCTCCTGGAAGGAGACGTCCAGGTGGAGGCACCCTGGGCCTGGACGCCCCTCCACCAGGATGCGACTTCCTCCCTCCCTCTCCCACCTCCCCACGTCCTGCGCTGGGGTCCGGAATCCAGGCACAGACGAAACCTCCTCCCCACTCTCCCCGCGCCTCTGCCAAGGGCTTACACAGTGGGGACAGCTCCACTTGCCCTCGGGAGCTTTCTCCAGCTCTGGGTCCAGGCACACGAGGTGGTAGGCCCTTGGGCAGGTGTCACACAGGATGATCTCCCCACCCTGCTGGCACACCTCGCAGTAGTCCTGGTGGTCCGTCTCGTAGCCATCACCATCATCGACTGGGGAGGGGGCAGAGGCAGACATGGAGGGCCTTGTCCCCACTCCCCAATGCACAACCAGTCTCCACCCCAGGCTGCACTGGCTCACACTAGGCACTTAATGGATGTTGGATGAATGGGTGGTGGAAAGACAGATGTGGTGAACAGAATGGTGGAGGGAGTAAAAGGGTGAAGAGATGCATAGAAGACAGATAAAAAGAAGGAAGGAAGGAATGGGGGGGAAGGAAAGAAGAAGGCTGGGTGGGTGGATAGAAAGGTGAATGGATGGATGCATGCATAAAGGGGAGGGAGGGAGGAAAGGAGGACTGAACGGAGGGAGGATGGGAAGGGGGATGGGGAGAGGGGACAGATGGGTAGAGGGTGGATGAGGTTAAGAAGCAATTCCTTCCTCAGGGCTCCATCTGCTAGTGCAAATGCCCTGGGGTGGCTCACATCATAGGTCCCTAATGTATGGAGACTCCCTGGGACAGGACCTCCCTTCTCCTGACTGTAGAGACCAGGGTGGTTGAGGAAGCCCAGGGAGACTGCCTGGCTGAGGCCTGAGGATGCCTTTCCCTGCTTCCCAGAGGGGGCTCTGCACCCCCACATCCACCGTGATGGCCCTGGGAACCCTGCGGACAGGACGTCCTACTTCTCTTCTTCTTGCGCCTCCTCTTGCTCTTCTTCCCCAGGGCAGCAGAACACTCGGAGCGCACGGAGGCGCTGTGGATGCTGGCGCTGTCAAAGTCCGACTCCTCGCGCTCATCCTCCTCACTCTGCAGGGGCAGGGGAGGGCCCTGTGAGCCCAGAGCCGGCCCTGGGGGCTCCTCTAGAGGGCGTCACAGGCCTAGGCAGGGGGTGGATTGGGGAGGGGCACAGTGGAAGCTCCGGAGGCACCGTGCTGTCTGTGGTTCATCTCCTCTCTCCACACAGCTAGAACACCCAAAAGCCCAGCCCACCGGTCCAGCCTGATGTCTACCACCCTCCCCAAGCCCTGCTCTCCAGCCCTCATACACTCCCCACCTCAGAACTCCACCTCCACACCTCTCCCAGGCCCTGCCCGCCACCCTGCCAAACTCCTACACACCCCTCAGAGGGAAGCCCTAAGGACACCTCCCCCAAGGAGCCTTCTCAGATCTCTCCTTAACTGGACCTGATGCACAGCCTGTGTGCCAGGTCGGGCCTGCCCCATCTGCCTGTCGTTGGCTCCCTCCCCATGCACGTGCCCAAACTCCTTCCAGACTGTGAGTAGCTCTAGAGCAGGGCCCACTATGGTGGAGCAGAGGGCCTAGCACATCAGCATGTGCTCAAAACTCAACCTGAGCTGGGCCACCAGGTCCAGCCTGGACCACACTTGCTGCTCCGTGCTCCCCTCCACAGCAGCTAAATTTGAGACCTGTCACTTGCCTCTACCAAGGGACGAAGATGACTTCCATCTCCGCCCCTTTGCAAGCCTGGGGCAGGTGAGGAAAACAGGTGCCAGGTGCCCTGTGGGGGCTGGAGGGCAGGGTGAATGCCCCTACCCCCGGAGAAAGGGGGCCCAAAGGCTCAGACATGGACTTAGGGTCAGTCTAAACCTGACGCCAGAGCTGGCCCTGGAAGGGCAAGGGAGGGGCAGGGCTCTAGCCCAGACTGATCCTGTCCACATGCCACCTTCCTGGGGCCCACCCTCCCAGCAGACCTGGGCACCCAGGCCCCATCAGGACTCTCCCACCTGCTGACCAGATGGAGAGGCAGCTGGGGCAGAGGGAGCCGGGACTGAGCCCCCGGCTCAGCAGGGTGGGCAGGAGAGCAACCCACCCGGAGTCCCAGCTACAGGGGCTCTCAGAAGGACCCAGGCTGAACCCCTCACCAGTCAGGTGGGGAAACAGGCCTAGCAGGCCTGCACGAAGAATGGGAAGAGAGAGTAGGGGCGGGCGGGGGGAGGGTGTGGCTCAGTGGTAGAGCACGGGCTTGGCATGCACGAGGTCCTGGGCTCAATCCCCAGCACCTCCATTAAAATAAATAAACAGATAAGAGCAGGGGAGGGGGAGCAGGACCCACGCCCAGGCTGGTTCAGGAGAATGAACTGACAGCCTGCTTGCAGGGCACGCATGCTCCACACACACACACACACACACGCACGCACGCACGCACGCTCACCGAGGAGCCTTTCTTCCTCTTGCTGCTGACCCCTCCAAAGCGGAACTTGAGCCCGGCCACCTTTCTCCCTTTGCCCTTTTTCTTCGCATCCTTGGAGCCTTTGATCTTCTTCCTCACCCCGGGTCCTGGAGAGCACGGGAGGAATAACCAGTGCACGCCGCGGCTAGCTCACTCACCGCCACCCTGTCATTCAGCCTCACAGGGAACTCAGTAGAGGACACTGAGGCTCAGAGAGGTGACATCCGTCCTTAAAGGTACACAGCAAGCAGAGAGGGAGCTGCAGAATAGCCCTGGCCCCGTCGCTGCTCTGGCCACTGCACCGTCGCTCTCCCACACTGGCCATCTTGGGAACAGCCCTGTCCCATCCCTGTCCCCAG